TTGGAGTATGCCCGTCTGTGTGATGAGAGGAGGGATAGTTTGGCGTTCGTGGGTGATTTGTTATGAACTGGTCTTGTTAGAAACAGGGCTTCATTTGTACAATAGAGCAATAAAACGCATTAAATTGCTAGCAAGCCCCGCCCAACCACTTGCCACCGTATATACACCTCAGTGGATGTCACTCCTATAGGCACGGTTACCTGCCCTTCGCCCCCCTCTGCAGCACCCTCGTCGGGTTCATCCCTGTTGCTATAATCAGTGATTCTTCAATTCTACGGAGTACATGGCATAGAATTAAAGGTTGGGAGCTACAACTACTTCCAAGGGCTTGGCAGCTTTCTCCTTCTCGTTCAGATGTAATCAATGTGAATGGCCATGTATTTCACTAAATATATCACAGATGTTATATTCCTGGTTGGTACTCTTTCATAAATAGTAAATGGAAAGTAGCGTACCTAACAAGAAGTTGTGGCACGACTCTCGAATGGACTGGTAGCATACCTCTTCATACCTCAATAACGTAGGAAATAAAGATAATACCACTGCTCATATATACTTTGGTCCGCACTGGAAGGTTCGGCATGACCGACTCATAGGCCTGTGCCATGTTCTACCGGCCCTAAACCTTCTGCATGATCGCGTAAGCCATAGGCAGTGTCACTTTATTCAGCTACAACGACAAACAATATGAAATGTCGAAAGAGAGGATTTAGAACCTGGCTATAATTCCCACCGTACACTAAGGACATATCGACAGCTAAAGAAACCCACGATTACACGAGGGCCGACTTAGCGCATTGCTCGCAAGAAGATCGAAAGGTGCGCTCCCTCTGCGCTCGAAGCTGTAGAGCCTAGACTGCCACCTGATCATCTTTCCTGCATCTAACTGACTATAGAATATTTGCCCGGGGTTTGTGCTGCGAGTATCGCTTTGTAGTAATCCTCTTCGCGAAAATCTCGATCGTACTAACCAGTAGCCTCCGGGGCGATGGCAGAGAAACGCTTACTCGTCCTTGGAAACCGATGCTGCTATACCCTATTACTGATAGCAGAGACGAGCGGTCACAATTCTCCAAAGAGAACTTGCTCTGCATGTCCATCAGAGGACTTGCAGACGCCCACTATACCCTAGCGATAGACACAGCTGTTGTCCTGTTCCGGCTCGAATCTCAGGTTGGCTGGCCACTCATTATGTATGGTTGGGTGTGCACCGTGAAGGGGACCACCAAGAAGGAACGAATTCGCCGAGATGTATCGCGAGCGGTCGGCGCTGCTTTGCCAGAGGATCTACTCGAGGCCCTTGAGGTGGGCTGGCTCTCTTGGAAGTTGTATAGTCAACAGATATTTTGAGTAGGTGCAATATAAAACGAGCTTTGCCCCACAAGCCAAATTCCCGACGGATGTACTGGATATTTTGCAATATCTCAGTTTCGTTTTGGACCATCAGAATGTTCTTCCATTTCTGAATTTTGTCTGGGTGCCAAAAACACTCTAGATGCCACCAAGACTGTTCCTGTTCATTCTTCGGTTTGCATGCTGTGGAAGATGGTGATTGTGTAAGATACTGACTTAGCCTTACCGTTGGAAATTGAATTTGCGGAGCCTCAATCATTGTAACCTGCTATACTGAGTCTTGTGTGACATTTAAAAAAACTGGGAACAGGAGGGAGGAAGCTCGAACATCAACAGTGCCGAATGGGGGTAGGATGTGAGGTCTTAACAATGACAAAGTTCACGAGTAGCACGATACGCGCGAACAACAACAAACGCTATAATAAGCACTGAGATGTAACAACGCCAGCAGATTAGCGAGAGATCTCTGGGGATACCTGATATGTAGCTGCTCATCTGTTATTGTAACACATTGATGTTCGAGAATATGCGGAACAGTCGTATAGCTATTTGGCAGCCCTGGAAATGAGGATAGCCTTTAAATTAACGCTCCATAGGTGGCCGTCAAAGGACTCTTTGGTCCCTATTTATACGTTCCCGCGGAGCCACGGTCCTCGTTAGCATCAGAGTTAAAAGTGTCTCTAGTCTCAGACTTGGCCTTTTGAGGTTTCCATGATAATGATTGTTTATAGAGATATACGCGGACAAGATATTAGGCGGGGGCAATAGAAGGATCTTTGAGGACACTTATACTAGGATAGATCAAGAAGTATTCACGGACGACTATAGTCCAGATAGTGACTCAAAACGATCCACGTGAAGTTATGCATGGATTGATATAACAGGCTTGCTTTCTTCAATACCATAGGGAGAGTGAATTCCTGTATGAATATTCTCGAAGATTGACTACCGCCTCAATGTTGTGAGACTTGGAAAGAATTAACATGATGGGTTAAAGTTATCCGCTCTAAAACCTATTTTTGTATCTTTCTGTTTCTCGCTCTAACTATATTAGGCTACGGCCATTGCACACCTGGCGCACTAACCGCCTTTGGTTAACCATGTACGAGCATGAGGATGGATCGCCTTAACCCTAGTAGTCCATACTTCTTGAACTTTACATTGGCTATATCGTTACAAAGCACTTTGTAAATGTCGCCAATAAATGAGTGATCCGATCTAGTGCTGCCTAATCGCCGGTGCCCCCCAAAAGCCACAACAAATATACATAGCCGGGGAAGAGCAGCCGGCCATGAAGTAATATATAATGGCGCTTCGCCCCTGCTCATCCTAAGCACCACATCAGCTCTCAGCGTTCCTCTGAACAATGGCATACCTTATATTCACTCTTTTATTGTTCAGTGCCGTTACTTTTGGGAACTCTCTGTCACTAGCTCTGTCACTAGCTCAGTCACAAGGACTTAGGACTCTTTCTTCGTCCTATATTGATGGTGCATCCCTCTCATACAAGAAAGTAGGTAAAGCCCACAGCATTGTCTCGTTGATATTTCTAACGAAATCAGACAACGATCTGCTCAACCCCGGACCTCGATACCTATAGCGGCTATGTCCATCTTCCACCCCGCGTAGACGATGCACATCAACACCCAAGCAACCTGTTCTTCTACTATTCCAAGTCAACCAAGAATAGGACAGCTCCGTTGACAATCTATCTCGGCGGTGGTCCAGGAGCGAGCTCCATGTCTTCTATGGCCGCTGAGATAGGACCTTGTTCCGTGAACTCAGATTCAAATAGTACATCGCCAAATCCCTGGTCCTGGACACGAGAATCCGACATTCTCTTCATCGATCAGCCAGTTCAAACCGGATTCTCATATGATGTACTGACGAATGCCACAATTGATTATTCGACAAGCAACATCACTCCAACTGACTTCCACGACAGAATCCCGGCAGCGAACCATACATTCGGGGCCGGGGTGTTCGCGTCCCAGAATTTCAACGGAACGGTGAATTCGACGATGAATGGCGCGAGGGCGTTGTGGGATTTTATGCAGGTTTGGATTAATGAGTTGGTCTCTTTTCTATCTCCTCAATTCCTCGTCTTTGGCACTGATTATTAGATTTCCCGAATATGAATCACCAGATAAGAATGTACACATTTGGACTGAATCCGTAAGTCCCTTTATCCCATCTGTTCTGCATGTCTGCTAACGAACACTCCAAGTTTGGCGGACGATACGGCCCATCCTACGCCGCATATTTCCTGGACCAAAATGAGAAAGTCCGGAACAACCAATGGACTAACGCTCCATCTGCTTCGTCGATCAACATCGACTCACTAAGCATCCACAACGGGTGCAGCGACATCATCACGCAGGGTGCTTTCTACCCCATATTCGCATACAATAATACATACGGGGCACAAGCCATCAACAAAGAGCAGTACGAAGAAGCTACCTATAATTTGACTAAACCCGGCGGTTGCATGGATATGGCCGTGAAATGTCAGGAACTCGCGCAAAGGCTGGACCCGCATAACCTCGGGAATAATGCGGACGTCAATGCTGCGTGTTTCGCTGCCGAGGAATACTGCTATGCGAATGTGCTGGGGGTTTATGCCTTGTCTGGGGTGAGCTGTTCCATATGGTCTGATGAATGTATGTTTGACTGTTGTAGCGTGATGTGCATGATCTGGCCGAGGTTCCTACTTCGACTATGCCGCAGCCCTACTCGGATGGCTTTTTTAATCGACCATGGGTGCAGGACGCTTTGGGCGCTCGGGTGAACTTCACTGCGAATTCAAATGTTGTTTATAACGGTGAGATCTATCGCAAAAAGGAAGCATTCCCTAGAGATAGCTGTTAATCGGAGTAGCATTCTGGAGCACTGGAAATGCGCTCATCACGCGTGGAAATGCAATGGACGACTTCGCATCGATTGTGAAACGGGGCGTTAAGGTTAATCTTATCTATGGTGATAGGGACTATCTCTGCAATTGTATGTCATGATTCTGCTTCACTAGAATACTAACTAATCGTAACCCAAGGGATGGGCGGCGAGAACATCAGCTTATCCATAAAACACGACCAATCTGCAGCGTTCAGCTCCAGCGGGTATGCAGATCTCATTACGAATCGAACGTACGTGGGGGGTGTTGTTCGTCAACATGGGAATCTTTCCTTCACACGAGTGTTTGATGCAGGACATGCTGGTAAGCCATCAGAAAAGATCGGTTAGTTTAGGGTATACTGACTTCACAGCTGCTGCTTTCCAACCTGAGACCATGTTTCGTATTTTCTCGCGGATTATACACTCCAAAGACATTGCAACAGGCAATATCTCTATGTCTGAAGAGCGCAGGAAGACCTATAAGACCCATGGCCCACATTCAAGCCTTGACAGAAAGAACAAGCTCCCCTCCCCAGCAGCCCCAGTGTGCTACACTCTGGACATGCCTACGACCTGTACAGCCAACCAGAAGGCAGCATTGATGAATGGCACGGCCGTCGTGGAGGACTTCGTGGTAAAGTGGCCTGTCTCCTAGATGGAGCTACTCGAGGAGCCTTGCTTAGAATAGATACATTCGAGCTAGTTATAAAAGCTCAATGATTGTCATTGTTTACGCTAGAGATATACCTGAATAATCAGCCAAACTCCACACTGACCCCATTATCATCATCCAAAACAGCGGTCACTGTTCTAACTCTCCGTCTCGACATCCCCGGCCCATTGCCCGAAGACTCCTCAAACTCCATAACCCGCCTAGCAGTCATTGCAGTAATCGTAGAATCCCACAGTATCTCCCGTCGCTTGCAGGTTTCTAGTAGCCCGATCGCCCGACGACGAATTTCCATATCCCGACACCGTACCCCCACAATGTACAACGGCGAGACAATGCCGAGATCAAAAGAAAATGTTCGCTTTTGTGAAAATTGCCTATTAAGAATTCAGTATACCAAGTCGACTAGTTAATCACGAATGAATACGACCAACCTCATGTGTGATAAATGGCTCTCCGCAAGTGAAACAATCGTGTTGAATTCCGTCCGAAACTGATCCCAAACAAACTCTGAACTATCTGGCATGACTGCAACATACATCTTCCCAATGATATACCAAATCTGCATAAGGTCCGGATGCTGATCGTATATATATGACGTTTCAATTTGACCAGATAGTCCTGGCGAGGGCATAGTTTTCACAAACCTACCATGCCACTCCTTCAAATACCTCAATGTGCGTCCGTGATCAAGTGGAAGGACAGAGCCCGGACGATTCTCCATAATGAGTGCCATATTCAGCCGATCATGGAAAATAGAATTCAACACACCATCCAAGGAACGCTCCACGTCGCCACCATTAGATCCGATATCAATCCTCGACAAGATGCACGAACCTCGCTCGCCATCCCGCTTCAACGTCTGAGACAACGACGTACCCAAGAGCGCAACTAACTGATTATCCAACCTTGTAAACAGGGATACCATTGTTTCCCGCGACACGATATTCCACGTCAACTCCTCTACACAACAAAGCAGCATATCTAACCCTGATTTAATATGAACAACCGCCGCTTTTGGACAGCCCCTCATACACTCAAAGCAAGCGAACAACAAACAGCAAACCAGCGCCAGATCCCTCCCGCCATCTCCCAGCCGAGTCCTCACATACCGTAGTGCCCGGCCATACTCCCGCATAGCGAACTGAGCCAGTGGGCTTGTAAAAAACGGATCCTCACTGTACTCATAGACCTGTTGCAGGGCCCCGAACGAGATAACAGCACGTGCAAGGGCTTCCTCGCTATGTGCAGCTTGTAATACCGGATCTGAGAAGTCGGCTGGAAAGCGGTACCTCGTTTGATGGAGGAAGAAATCGAATGATTGTCTTTCCTCGTCGGATGTCAGGAATGACGATCTAGATTCCGGTGCGCGGTAGACCACCACCCGTAGCGCGGGTGATGATTTCGATTTTGGGATGGCCGTGTAGCTACATGGACGACCTGCTGAGGTGCATCTCTGGCAGATTGGCTGTCCTTCGTCGCATTTTATGCGTCGTTTTCTGGGTTGTGTTAGTAGTAGGTTGATAAGAGTTCAGGGGTTAGGGTTACGCACTTGCAAGTTATGCAGCCTGTCTTTACTTTGCTGCCACAGACTCGGGGTGCTTTTCTCGAGTTGTTCATTTGTGGATGAGGTATTGTGTTTGAGATGGATGATTAGGCTGACAGATTCGTGGGATCTGTGGCTACGCTGTTAATTTATTACTCCTTGTTCCGCCCCCAAATGCAAGTCGATGCCTTACCCTACACACTGCCTCAGGCAGCGAACAGGGTATCTCGAAATGAATGTAGGAAGTATCTATCTACATGGTTAATCATAAAAGTCCCAGGTACAAACAGTTCGTAATACCCTTCCCAGTTCCCAAAATGTATTTCTATTCATCCAGCCCAGCCATCACTAAACAAAGGAAAACAGCCGTCCAGACCAAAAAGTGAACATGATGGCAATTACAAGCCACGATCTCCAAGTACTAAAGTCTCTCCTCAATCCTCGTATGAAATTCCCTCTGTACCGCAATACCATCCTTAGGAATGGGTCCCATCTCAAACCCATCCCCCTTCACGTCAGGACTCGTACAATGCACATTGGTCTGCATCTCAGCAGAATCACTCTCATTTGGCATCCGAATCCATCTTTCGCTATCCGTGCTGCGTCGATGCTGTCGTCCATGAGACTTCGATCCGTATGCCCTGGAATCGTACGCGTATTGCAGATTCGACGTCTTGCTTTTCTGGCCCGACACGCTGCTGGTAATCTTTTGTGCGGCAGTTTTGAATAACCGGTAGATTATAGGTAGGTTGGCGCAGAGGATGCAGCCGAGCGATTCGAAGGCCGAGAGGATTCCCAATGGTACTCCTTCCCCTGCGTTTCTGTTAGAATTGGGCGTTGAGTCGGGGTGGACGGTAGAAAAGGGGAGGGGCGTTACAGGTTATGTCGGCTGAGCCTTGCGCGACGACATAGGCTAACCGGGCGGCGCTTATGCCGCAGGTGCTGTCAAATATTTGTTAGTCCCGATGGGTTGAGGCCCAGGGGTATAGGTTATGGGAGTTGCTGTACATGAATCCAATGGAAAATATCGCGACAAGAGCAATTTTCTTCTTTCGTGTTGTCCGGACTCCCAAAATGACGGGGATGGGGAGGGCGAAGAGCACGAGGTCCGTGACCATGTTCGAGGAGTTGACGAAGTATGTCAGAGCTGTGGAGTTGAAGCATTCACCTTTCACGGTGCGGTCCCAAAATGCGTTTAGCGGGCGACATAGTGCGCCCATGAATGCTTCGATGATGGTTATCCATATCAAGACAAAGATTGCACATCCGATCACGGTTTTGCTGAACCAGGGGATGGGGAAGATGCGGTAGTATAAGACAAGGATCCCGAGCTTTGTTGCGGCGAGGAAGACGTTGTAAAGATGACTTGCAATATACTCTCCCTGCGGCTATTGTCAGTGAGACCGAGGGTGGAGGATCAACAGGCGCTCTGACCTTTAAGAATATCTCCAGGTCCTTGAGGTCGACAGTCGCGGTGTGATGGCCGAATCCATGGCCCACACCTGTTGGGATCAGCAGGGACTAAAAATAACAGGGCAGAGACGCTCCCCATTCGACGTACCGGTAACCAGCATTGTTACCGAGTATGCTACTTCTAGGGCCTGATATAGGGTCAGCAATCATAGTTATATGCATGGACCCAGTTCGTGGTGGGGAGACAGACACTCGCCAGGATGATTAAGTGGTCATCTAGATGAAGACCCTCTTTTGACATTTTAGCAAACAGTCGCAGCACCGTGCTTGCTACCAAAAGCACCGTGGGAACTGTGTATCCCATAATCACCAGTGTCTCTCTCGACGGAGTCCCGTCCCAGCTCGTCATGTTGGTGTACGTTCTTGACACGCACAGAGATCCGGTAGGATGTCACCCTTTCGTCTCGGAGACGACAGCATCAGACCAACTTAGACTGACACTGACGAGTGGCACTTGTCCGGAAAGAAAGGCAAAGGGGTTTAATGGGGACTTTAACAGGATTGTGTCCGTTTCTAGTGCCATTCATATGAATTTGCATGTCTGCTAGCTCTATCGTGGTGCCCTAGGGGCAGAATCCTTCGGATCAGGCCAGAGACTTCATAAACCTGCCCTGTTGATTCCTAATCACCGGCATAATTTATTGAATCCACTCCTAAGGCGGGTCTCCATGCCCAGACTCATCAAATTCCACGAGGCTGACGGGCATTTGAAAGGTTGGCATGCATTGAAACTCAAATACCAGGCCTTGCGAGACATAACAGCTGAATATTACAGCCGCTCATTTAAAACACGGCTTAGACGTGATGGCTGAGACAAGCTCGTCGACGGACTGTGATTTATTCATCTAGTGTCCGCAATGGCGGCCCAGGTGGACCTACACCTCAATCAACAACTATCCAATAACCATAACCACATATGGCCGATCCTTCTCGGCAGGGAATACGAGTGGTGATGTTCCATGTCCGATCCGTTTCTCTCCCCACCTCCCTCGATCCCCCCGTATTCTCATATCATGCCCATGGCCAAGACCCTAAATCCAAGTCCTGTGTTTTACCTTTGTGCCGCTCCTTCCTGCTGGTTATTTGGGTCAACCCTCCACTTCCACGGTTCCTGAAGCACTGCACAGAGACGACCCGCGAGTTCCTGCATTGGAGGAGCAGCAACATGTTCCTGACTTGGTCCATGAAGCCAGAACCGGTCTCCCCACGATCGGACTCGTCAAGTGCATCGTCACTGAGAGAGTCCACACATAAGGTGCGAACCCGCAATGGCTGCAATACCTGCCGACGGAGGCGGGTGAAGTGCGATGGTAGGTGCAAGCCCGTTCTACCGTTTTTGTCCCGGCTCGTTCTCCGAAATTACGAGTTCAGTCTAGAGCTTTCGTGTGCACCCAATACGGAATAGAATGGCAGAGGCTTATCCACTACTGATACAGAAACTCGTCCCACCTGCACACGCTGTCAGCGATCAAAGAACCGATGTAGCTACGAACTGCAGCTGCAATGGGAGGACGAGATGCGGACGGCAGGGAAGTGTCATGGACGAACGGGCGTTCAACCGAAGAGACATTCCTTGCAGCGCCCACCGGCAAGTGACGGAGATGCCCAACGACCGACACGGACCAGACGCAAGGACATGGCCCATCGGCAGCATGACGCTGATTCCGTGGCGATCCGCTCTCCACCCAACTCGCATAGCGCACTACGCGCCACGCACCCCAATCGCGTAACGTATAGCACTCACTACGAGAACTGGAAGAATGTGACGCCTATTTCGCGTCCATTTCCCGTGCTGCCATGGAGTATCGGTATGCCAGACATGGACAACGTGTGCTTGTCCTTTTACCATTCCGTGATGTGTACCGTCGGGGTGACCGTTGATGATGAGCACTTCAACCCCCTTCGCAGCACGGTGATGCGTCTCGTGTTTCGGACTGAGACAGCGTATTATGCCGTTCTCATGGCCAGTGCACATTATCTGCGATCAGTTGACAGTAGGTTTGAATTAATGGAAATCCAGATTCGCTCGAGGGTTCTAAGGGGCTTGCGGCGAGCCCTGATGAAGGATAATTTGGATTGGGAGGACCTGCTGGTGCCGACGATCTTTCTCTGTTCTTCGGCGGTATGTAACGTCTCCACTCTATACTATAACGCATGGCAATCATACCACTCAAGGTTCGGCTAGAAGGTGACGACTAATCCTTCGGTTAGATCTCTAGCAGCTGCGACGGCTCCTGGGTAAAGCATCTCGCCTGTTTCCAGTTGATCGTGAAGGAGATGGCCCGTGGCCACAGAAAGGCTCCCCCTGTGCCACACTTCTTCATCAGCTACTTCTCTGCGCATCTCGTGCTGGCTAAATCAGTGTTCTCAATTGAGGACACCCTGCCTGTCGGTGAAATACCAACCACCCCTATTAGCCCCACCTCCTTAGCCAGCTCGACAAACACCGAAAGGGTATCATGGACTTCCACCAAGGATCTCGCCAAGGTGATGCCAGCGGACACACTCCATGAGATTGACGTGTGGAACGGCCTCAGCAGCCACATGTTACTGCTCATTAACGAAATACTGACTCTTAAGCACGATGCCCAAGTACTCCGTGACCAATCGTCAGACCCATCCACACCCCAGACCGCGGTCAAGCAGAAACAAGCCGCAATTGCGGATAAGATCACAAACTTAGAAGCAAGTCTAGCTACCACAACACAGATAATCCCCGTCTCGTTATACAAAGACCGCAGCCCTACCGAATCCAGACATGGATTCCGCTTACTCAAAAGCACAAGCGAGGCCTATCGCCTGGCATCCTACCTGCTCCTATCAGAGGCAGCTTGTCCTCGATTCCTTGGGTATACCCCTACCGCTACCCCGAGTATTGAGCGGCTCAGGGATCAGGCCCAGAGGGCACAATACGTCGACCGCATCTTTCACCTGGCGAACTACGTTGTATCCTCGGTGGATCACCTCCCCATATCCTGGCCTCTATGGCCGCTCTTTATTGCCTCCTGTTGCTGCTCACAAGACGAGAAAAGTAGAACTATGAGGATATTTCGCGCCGCCAGAGACAAAGCCCCATACGAAAATATTCCTCGAGCGCAGACGTTAGTTGAACTACTCTGGCAGCGCAGGGACATGCAGACGGAGTCGCACAACACCGTGCGGGTTGGTCGGTTCGAGTGGGAATCTGCGATGGAGTTTCTTGGTTGGCAGACAAGCTTTGCCTAATTGTACTAGATCACTTCATATCTTGTCCATTATGCTATCTATACATACCCCTTGATGAATTATGGCTATCCTGTCCCTCCATTATTTATATGCAGGCCTTACAAACAGAACCGAAAGCTCTGATTCTGCCAATCCGACACATCACCCACCTGCCTCCTAGCAGTAGACGCCTCCGAATCCTCTGCTTCCTTAGTCTCAGGCTCAATAACACGACCCTGGTTGCGATCCCTCCTCTTATTCTCCCAGACCATATACGCGCGCAGCAAAGCCACATCAAGAACAGCAATACAAAAACAGGCCAAAATAGCCGCAAACGCAGACTAATTACATCGGTCAGCATACACCCACCAGCATAACCAACTATAAGACAAAGAAAGGAAGGAAGAAAGAAGAGAAACTCACATAATAATGCGGCGCCTGATTCTTCTTAAAAAGCTGCGGGCCAGCAATATTCCCCACACAATACCCGATAAACAAGATCGCCGTGACGGTAGTCTTCTTCGTGAAGCCAGCGAAATTACTCGAGACCAGACTAAGGCTGAGGGGGAATCCGGCGCCAAACACCGTGACCAGCCAGACGCCTACCAGCCGGCCCCATTTCTTCTCGACTGGCAGTTGGCGCATGAGGAGGATGCCGATGAGGCTGATGAGCAGGGTGATGATCATCCAGTAGCAGCGAAGACCGCGGAAGCGGTTGCAGGTGAATGCGCTGAGGAGGAGGAAGACCAGGCTACTGCTGCCATGGGGATGGTGTAGAGGAGGGTGTTGAAGGTGTCAAAGCCGAAGGAAGCGATTACTAGACTTGAGAACTGGTGTGCATCTCTTTAGTGATGGTTTCAGGTGGGGGTGGTCTGGGTACTTACGTTCGTGATCCCACCGTTGGGGAGGGAAACCAGAAAGTTGTAGGTGAAGAGGAACCAGGTTTTAGGATCAATCAGGGCTTCGATAAACTGGTCTTTCTTCCATTCGCGGCTTTGGTAGGTTTGCTGGCAGGCTTGGGCGCGGCGGTAGGCTGGCCCGCGCTGCGAGGGGGACAGGAATTTGGCGTTCAATGGCGAGTCAGGTAGGGCGAAGAATTGGAAGATCGACCAGACGAGGGTGATGATGCCAAATATGATGAATACCCACTGAGAAACTGGTTAGTCTAATGGCTCCTTTGGACAGGTGTTGGTAGGGCTTGTATATACCTGCCATGGACCCAGGCGGTTGTGGACATGGCCGATTGCGTACGAGAGAACTCCTCCGAAGATCGATGCAACGCCGTTACCAGCAAACCAGATGCAGCTTCTTAGAGCGTGCTCGGAGGGCGTGTACCACATGCCTACCACGATGGTGAAGCCCGGGCTGATGGCGCTTTCAAAGACGCCAAGTAGTACACGCAGGGTTGTTATGCCTGCGAAGCTAGAGGCAGCCGCATGGCATGTTAAGATGATTGCCCAGATGATCCTGAGAGGATTAGCTGCTGGTATCTTATGGCATAGTATTGAATACTGAACTCACATCATTATTGACAGATACTTCCCGATTGGAAACTTAACAAATCCGATGGATACGGGATAGGATGCTACCATGTAGCCGAAGTAGAACGCACTAGAGGCCCAAGAGTACTGGTCGGTGTTCATGTGCTATAGTGAAGTCAGACACTACTGCATGGATTGTGTCAAAGAAGATGTAGCGACAGCATACCGTTCCAGGCAACAATCCAAGGATGGAGGTATACGACATTGCGGTTTTGTCCAGATACTGTAGCAGGTACGAGACAAACATCAGAGGGAGCAGACTAATTCATGTTAGATTCATGTTCAACAGTTCTCGAGCACTTCGGCTCTACAACTTCCCGATGTCATATACATACCAGAGGTCTATTCGACGGAGAATCGCCTTTTCTTCCACCGCCGTCAGCGGTGGATGTTCATCAACCGTCTCATTGGGACGCTTAGGCTCCGACTCGGGAGAATTGCAGTAGTCCGACACGGCCATATTCTCAGTCCAGCTGAACAATGAAAGACTCACTACAATCGCCTTCCTCCTACAGAGCAGAAGAGGGAGTACAGAAAATAAATCTCATCGGGAGCTGTGAGTTTCTTAAAGGCCGCACCATCCAGTCTCAACGGCTTCCCTTGCAGTCTGGTTGCATCGACTAACGCCATATAAATTAACCTCCAGCTAGGCCTACACTGGAGGGATCTTGTTTCTCTAGATGCATCACAGGCCTGTTAGTGGCATTTAGCTGCATGTAAGCGTAATACTGTCACGTCTTAAGCCATCCTTCGCAGCTTCAGCCCGTGTCACTAAACCCGAATAGGGAATGCAAGGGCTCGCTTCGACCTGACCGAAAAGGTGATAGCGTCCGATGAAGCCTAGACTGCACATCTTTGGCTGCACGCAACAACGCTCCACTCCCACTCTGTATCGAACCATATCGTAAATGAAAATGATTAATGTTCATTCCCCTGCAGGCCACAATCCTGAAAGTGTGGAGCAATATGGCAAATATTTAATGAATCCTTCGGGTCCGTCCACAAAAACGCCCGAGCAGGAGAAACTAAGGCCATCATCCGATCATCTTGCTGACTCCTGAGTTCCATTGCCACCGGAAGCATGCATCGGATGCTCACAGACGACAGATTATATCGGGTTGATGCCGACCTACTCATACCAGGGAAGGGGGAACCAATCCCCCACGGCGCCGTGGTATGGCAATCGAAGACCATACGCTACGCAGGACCCCAATCAGGGTCCCGGCTGAGTTTCAAGGGGCCACAACCACTCATGTTCCCGTCGTAATGCCGGGGATGTGGGATTGTCACATTCACTTCTTGGGTGCTACAGCAGCCACGATGAATGCGATCGTCGACACGCCCCAGGCTCTGGCCGGTGCTCGGAGTGTGCCAGATCTACACGCTACCGTTATGGCCGGATTCACCTCAGTGCGTGAGGTGGGGGGCTACGGGTGTGACCTCGCAAAGGTCGTAGCGGAGGGACGAATCACAGGACCTAATATCTACTCCAGCCACTCTGCCATAAGCATGACTGCGGGACATGGTGATGTACACGGTGTCCATAGGGACTCGCTGCTTGATCTGTGCGCCCACGGGCTACCTCTGACAATTGCTGACGGCGTACCTGAATGTCTACTCGCGGTGCGAAAGCAGTTGCGCCGGGGTGCCAAAGTCATCAAAGTGTGTGCTAGTGGAGGTGTCGTGAGTGCCATCGACGACCCGCAGCACCAGGAATTCTCTTTCGAGGAATTGAAGGCTATTGTCGATGAAGCGGGGCGGGCACGCCGGGTCGTAGCTGCTCACTGCCATGGTAAAGCGGGTATTATGAATGCACTGCGCGCTGGATGTCGCACGATTGAGCATGGCAGCTTCCTAGATGAAGAGGCCGTTGAGCTGATGAAGGAGAAGGGGGCAATTCTAGTCGCCACCCGCAGTGTCATTGAGAGTGGTCTGGCAATGAAAGATCTTTTCACCCCGTCGTCCTATAAGAAGTTGCTCGAAGTAGCTGATGCACACAAGAAGGCGTACCAACTTGCTGTTTCAAGAGGTGTCACGATAGCCCTTGGCACCGATCAGTTCATCAGCTCGGATAACCCGATGATAGGCTACGGTCGCAATGGCCATGAAGTGAGGTATGCGGCAGAAGCCGGTTTGACTCCGCTGGCGGCCATCCAAGCTGCCACGGCCAACGGGCCGCTTACTTTAGGGTATCAAGCACCATTGAGCGGTCAACTAAGGGAGGGATTTGATGCAGACATCATTGCAGTCACGGAGAGCCCGCTCGAGAATGTCGCGGTTCTGTCTAGCTCAAGGAATGTCACCCACGTCTGGCGTGCTGGCATGCTGATTAAGTCGTGAAACGAGCATCTGAAGAGGTTATAACGGTTTGGGTTACTAGTATGTCAATGCATATTTGTAAATATATAAGACCAACTCAGGTTGGATTGTGCAACTGTAATGTTCAAAAACATTTATTGGCCATTCCAGCATGCAGTAGATCACAAAAATGCAATGGCCATAAAATTGCTAAAGTGTCATTACGGCCCTAAATACTCAAAATTTGTGACCTACCATGTACCGGAATATAAGAGAGGCAAAGGAAACATGAAGGGACATGAGCGCGGCATCTCAGCCACAGACATGTACGTACAAGCGTTGTTTCTAGTTTGTCAAAGCTAAGTACGTCCTATTTACTGCAACTAGACATACCTACACGTTGCACATGTTACAAAAATATGCAAATGGGTCAGTATCTCTACTACTGAGTCCCCGACTGCCTAGGCCGAGAGTATCCCTATGGCATAGTCCGCCGTGAGTAAATGTACAGTCATCTGAAGCTTCTACTCAACAGTACTGTACTACTCTTGGAGCTCTGATATCTATAGGATCCTACGAGACTCAGGTTGACCAATCGTGAACTAACAAGGCTTTGAATGACAAAAACAATCTAAACAAATAAGTACGGACACAAATCAGACACAAAGACTAACAGCAAAAAAAGACAAACGTTCTAGACATACAGTCCTTCCCTGGGATGTGGCGAACCGATCGATGATTCCATGGACTGCATGTCTATCTAAAGCTCACCATTCCCTGCGGAGGACATTGGTAGGCTTGTCATATGCCCCGGCATCGAGCATTCCAGGCTTTCTCGGTAGCCAGATGTTCTGAAGGTGACTTCTCTGGAAAGTCCGTCACAGGAAGTGATATCTTCGCGTTTTCTCGGGAGCGCTTCTTGCTTCGGCGCATGTATGACCGAGCCACCAGACTCAATAGGACAACCGTGATCAAAAGCAGGAGAGCATAAGTCGCATCACGAGCTGCTCTGTAGCCTCTGGAGTAGTCGAATGTGGATAGTTCAAGTGAAGGGACTGGTGACGTGGTTTCCACCGGTACAGGAGGCGAGCGAGTGATCGTCGCAGTTGCTGGATTCGCTCCTGGGCAGTCACCGCAATGTATTGCTTCGCTGGACTCATCGGGGACTATATAGCCACTAAATATAAAAGTCAGTTGGTTCGATTTCTGGTAGACCTGGTGGAATGGAGCTTAGGACGTACACGAAACACGGCTGCATGGCGACAAGGGTATAGCCTGGGGGACAGACAACAGTGCCATCGTCATCCTCTTCCCGAATCGGTGACACCGTGTCAGCCGGATAATGAGGCATGACTCCGAGAAAGCTCCACGCGCCTGGAATCCGTTCATAAACGAATACAGGATGTGACGGCTCTGCGAGTGGTGGTTCTGGAGGTGTGGTTGAGGGAGTTAACATCGCTGTTAGTGTTGCAGTTAAACGGATCTAGGTACATCAGTAGGAAATAGAGATGATCTTTTAGTTCATGGAATTGTTGATAGTTTCTGATTTGGCACAGGGGAGATGGGCAATAAATAGGCCATTTTTCGTCAGACATGCTGTCAATGAAATTAGGAGGTAGCTCGTTAAGCATTCTGAGACATACGCATCATCGTACTATTTGCCATCAAATTCTGCTAATGGCAGAGTAATCAGAGGTTAAAACGATGGAACATGAAACATGAGGCGAGAATGAACAGTATGATAGGCGGCGTGCTGGATTCACCATTCTAGAAGGCGCACATGTGAAGTGTTTAAGACAATCTAACGAACGGACAGATTTCTCTGAAACTGCTGACCAGACCTGCATAGACAACGTATTGGATTTAGTTTTGAGTAGAGAAATCTACGCTCGACCAAGGCGTTCGTTGCAACGTCGCCCTAGCAAGGTCGATATCAGTCGAAGGGAAGGGGCGGCAAATGTGCTGTGACGTCCACGGGCTTGAAAGACGACATTAAGAATAAGCGAGAAGGGTCAGAAAATTAACATTATGCGCTTTGCTTGAGGCTACATATTGATTGTCATAGATCCGTAGCTATACTTTCGTCCAGACTTCGTACGTTATCCGCATCTAAGGGTTAGCCACTAAACCTTCCGAATGGAGCTTCGTATAGACTCAAAGGGGGAAGTTCTGTACAGAGCCTCCATTGTGATTTCATCTCAACTTGGGTTAAACCTGGGCTAGAACGTTGCTATACACTACACTACTGCCTGCACAAGATATGGCAGGGTTGGGTTACCTTCCAAAGCAGGATATGTAATTGGGTAGTGAGAGAGCCGCGTGTTCCTGACTAGAAGCTCTGTTAGTAGAATTCTAGAACATCCGTGATATCCTAACAGGGTATGTGTACCTACCAGGTGCGCTAGAAATGTATGGTGGCGTCAGCACCAGCGACGGGAACGTGCAGCACTACGGCACACAGCGACCAATTCGTATCCGAAGACCCCAGGATCTGCAGCTGCACCAGCAGCAATGACGCTCCCAGTGGATGGGTATTTCCTCGCGTAAGTCTGACATGAAACATCACGTCCAAGACTATCTCGTTACCATTCTTGTACCCTATGTTCTATGATTCCTATAGAGACCATGTGTACATGTCTCGGGATACTCACTGGAATGGTTGACAAAGACTGGCCCAAACGTGATGGAGACCAGTTCAACGCTGACAGCGTCTGGCAAAGTTGTGTCTCGGGTATTCGCGTACTGGTTTTAATTCTACCAGAGTTTTAGAACTCATCGAACTCTCTTTGTACAAACGCACCGTTCCTTTACGATGTTAGCTAAGATGATATATTGGAGTGGTTCAAGACTGATTAGTACTGGTAGGAGAGTGTTTCTGCCTTTCTTTTGGATGGGCCTAGTAGATATATCGATATGCTGTTGCTATAAACTCCAGTAGGGAAAATGTCAATGTTAACAGAACGACGTTCTTAATCTTATCCTCCTGCAGTACATTTCATACTCAACCATTTGCCTCGTTATGTTTTTGATTTGATTCATTGCCACCTTCCAGAAGCGTAAACTGTCGGCGAAATGATGAAAGGAGACATTCTCACCGGTAGACGGAATCAGCATTCAGCCTGGTACACTATAATGAGACATGGACAGGAGAGGTGAATATACGCGAGGCTGGCATCCTATAGCGCATTGACGTTTGTCTTTGTCTCAGTTTCACGGCTATTATTAATTCATGCAATGTAGTTAGACTTCAGCCTCGTAAACCGGACCATTTAGGAATATTTTGTTGCCCAGAGCAAGGCATGCTACCACATATCAGCCTAAAACACGGAAAATAGGATTTGTTCACTCCCGAGCCGTACCTAAGCCACGCAAGGAGTACGCAATCCAATGCCACGTTGATTGCATTGCTACATTTTTCAGTCAGGTAGCCTCCCTGCCTATTTGACCATTTTCAGTTGCTCTGCGTATTCCCCGTGGCGGCAAAACTGAGTCACAAAAAGTACAGTCGCGAGGAGCACCTACTATGGAAACAGGCTGTGGTTGCTCGCCCTCTCTAACTCCCTGCAAAGAAGACGTTGAATACTCGCATTTGTTGCCCAGCTTTGGTTCCATTTGCATAACCATGCATGCCTCAGGCAGTCAAATAGCCCACGTCCCAGCCCCCTGACTTTACTCGTTCAAGCCACTGCATTCCCCTGACCAGTTGCTCCTTTCTCTACGTGTAATAGGTTAACCTACGCTGATTACCGGTGAGAAGCCCTTAAGCACATTTTTTACATCCTCTTTAACTCCTCCTTTGGTTTTAACTTGCTCTTCGTAATGTTATCTTGGCTTCCGCGGTCTTTACCCCGATTTCTAGGGCGAGCATGGAAGCCACTCAACTTCTCTAATCCAAACTTCGGCCGTATCTCTCCAACTCAGGCCCTGGAAGAGGAAACGCTACCTGATTATGCTGCCTTGCGCTACTATCCTACTCGAATCGGTGAAGTAATCAAGGATCGATATCAAGTCGTAGGCAAATTGGGATATGGTGCGACCTCGACCGTATGGCTTGCGCGGGATATGAAGTAAGGCCCCTCTAGTGCTCCTCATCCACCTGCTTACGCAGGGTAATAACAGTTCCTGCTCTTATGTAACCCTCAAAATATTTATCAAGGCTGCTTCCATGGGACACCAGCTGGATGGTGAGCTCAAAATGTATCAGCGGATTGACAGACCTTCAAAACATCCAGGTCGCAACGTCATTCGGTCTCTGCTCGATTCTTTCCACATTGACGGGCCTGAAGATAAACATCAGTGTCTCGTTCATCCCCATTATTTGAGAGTGTATGGGAGTTCCTCCACCGTAACCCCGTCCAGAGACTGCCTAAACCGGTCCTAGCTTTTACACTTCGGCAAGTGTTCCTAGCGCTAGACTACCTGCATACAGAATGCCAGATTATACATACAGGTATATAACAACTCGATCCCTCCTCTCTTGCTGGTTGCTAACTTGGATTGGACATTAAGGCGAATAACATCATGTTTGAACTCGCTGATGATTCGGTCTTCATCAAGTTTGAACAGGACGAACTCCAGAATCCTTCTCCGAGGAAAGAGTTAGATGGGAGAGCAATTTATTTATCCAGGGACCTCGAAATGATCCCTGGGAAACTAGGCGCCCCCGTTCTATGTGACTTTGGCTCGGCTATGTTGGGTGGTGTAGAACATCTAGAAGATGTACAGCCTGATATCTACCGAGCGCCAGAGGTAAGCTTGGAAATTCCATGGTCATACAGTATTGATATATGGAATGTAGGGTGCATGGTAAGTTAGCAAGCAGGCTAATAACATTGAAAGGCGCGTTTAACCTTGTTGCAGATCTGGAACATCTTCGAAGGGGGTTCGTTATTCACAGGCCATGACCCTGAATTCCAAAAATACCGGAGTAGGGCGCATCTGGCGGAGATGATAAATCTCCTTGGCCCTCCCCAACCCGGCCTTCTTGCCCGGGGCAAGCAAGGTCACAAGTTCTTCTCAGACACGGGCGAATTTCATGAGCCAACTTTGTTGCAAGATCTCACTCCGCTCGAGCAGAGGGAAACAACCCTTGAAGGCGAGGATAAGGAGAGCTTTTTACGTATGATGCGAAGGATGTTGCAGTGGGAGCCGGAGAAGCGTAGCTCTGCAAAAGAGTTTGCGGAGGATGAGTGGATTTTGAAGCAAATCGGCCTATAATTACTTCTTGGTCTGTTTCAAACTTCAAAGATATTCATACAGGAAGACAAGTCTGCGCAGTGTGGAGGGATGGCAGCTCCGGGGATGTCTACAAGCCAGGTAGCCAACTTAACACTAGAAGTGTCTGTACCATCAGTGATGTACTACGCTAGATCCTATTATCCACGACACAAGGGGTGCATCCACTACGTTCTGAGACTCTCTGGCCGTAAATTGCCAGGCAAAAGGCACGCAGCTTTCACCGTGTGCCTTCATTGTGAAATGAGTGATTTAGATATCGACCGAAATGTGTCTCAAAGAACCTCCATCTAGGACAGAGTTGGTCCTGGCTCGAATGCTGTACCTCTCTATACATTCGCATATCCAGTATCTGCCCGACTATGGCTCTCGCAAACTCCTATAAGGCGCTGCGGATATTTCACCTTGATGCGTCCGGTGAAAAGATCGCCGCATGTCTGCCAATTTGGTATATCACGGCGATGTAGCGTGTTTTTCTCGTCATCCATCGAATTATTCAGGGTGACTTTGCCTTGAAACAAGCCACTCGTCATAGCTGAATTCCATCGGTTCGTCAGCAGATCTAACAGCACACTGTCTAATCCAATTGCTTCCGGTTCAACGGTGCCCCCAAATATAATCACAATGCACAAGACATAGTATCGGGCTTCTACCAAACATTTCCCTTGGACATGGTTAGAGTCAATGGATCCTTAGCCACCATGGACACGGCATGGTGATAATAATTGCGTAGAAGATGCGTTTATTCCCTGGACCAAAATATGCGAGTGGTGAAGCTGTATCGGCTCCTTCACCCTATGCCATCCTACTTTTATCTCCGTCCTCTTTTCCTCCTTCTATTTCTTTCTCTTCTCCTCTCTTGCCATCTGCTTCATCCAAGTCCAAGATGTGTCAAGATGCACATCGGCCTTTTGTTCCTTATATAGTCACCGATATTCTCCCACCAAACGATATCACTATCCACATTCTACACTACATACTCACTTAACTTTATTTATTCCTCTAACTCACGAAAGTATCTCATCGAATAGCCGAAACATGATATCGGCATTGAAAGTTAACAACGCTTAGCCATGGGTATTTGAACATCACGGATTCTGTATGTCCGCATCTAGGCTTTGAATCAAAGTAGAAATTGAGGCGCTATGCTCCTAGTGGACAAGAAAACGATACCATCATTAGTGTTGCACTTTTGAGCTTCCTGCGGGGGGTTGCTGCCCTGAGTCACCAGCCAAAGTCTCGTTGGCTGTATAAACGAGTCTTTCAAAGTCTCCTTAAAGAATGTTTCTTATACGGCACATTGGTGATACATTACGCACTAGTGGAGATTGTATCTACAATTCCCTCAATCAAAGTAAAGGAAGGGTACTGTTTTCGATGATAACGAAAGGTTCCAACCGTCAGGGACTGCGGAACACATAAGCTAAATTATAGCTGACAATCACCTTGATATAAGTCCAGGTACAATAACCGATGTAAAGAATATAGCAACTAACAAGCAGACTGACCTCGAAACAGAAGTTTAACAAAGCCTCTTAACTTAGAAACGACTACAAAAACTGAGCAACATGGTCTAGAAAGGGACCAAAGATATATTTATATAGCCCAAGTCAAACTACCAAGCTCGAAAACTTGAAGAAGCGCCTGAAGACATCACAAGAATATGTTGAACAGGTTGAATATCAGGTCTATGCGTGTACCAAAGAGATTCCATATCTACTGGTAAGAATCAATAAACTTGAGCCTCACATAAGGAATACAATATGACTATTAACGGTGAAGTGAGCTGTGAAGACCTCTAATTCCTTGCAATGCATGCCCAAGTCTAGAAAGGAGTAGGAAGCTGAATAAATGAAACTATCTACGAGTGTACAAGAGAGTAATAAGGTAATAAGACCACAATTTAGAAATCATATCGCTCTGTCCGATCTATCTCTTTTCCACACTATTGTTATAATATGACTTGCACTAGATTAGATTTAAAATATTCAAATGACTGAAGGCTTCATTAAGAGCCGCTGGCATAGTAGTGTTAAGGTGGCAAGGCCATGGGTAAGTAGTAACGTAACCTAAACATGCTTTTATATGCAACATTCCTTTCCACGCCTCGTGAAAGCGACGGTGTTCGGAAGCTATAGCTGCTGCAGTGTACCTAGACGAGCTGACAGAAGGGACCGCGGTTTTACTCGAGCTGTGGCCCTATGTCCATAGCCTGTCATTCACATCAGCATTATTCTGCATAGAGGGAGCCAAGTGTCGGCAACGGAAGAGACATTGAAACACTGCCGGCCAGGCCGCCACAGTCCTCAATACTCCATGTGAAGAAGACCCACTGCGTCATGCAGCGGATGCGAGGATGGGGAACCGTCGGGGTTTCTCCTCTAGTAACTGATTGATAAGATGAAAAAACGGTAGAATCGTGATCCGGGTGAGGCCAGACGGCGAGCCAAGCCCACCACGCCAATTCATAACGTTATGGTTATATTAAAACTCCGAAGAGCTTCTTTGGCCATTACGTACATAATATCGTGTAGGGCGCAATATTTGCAGGGCACATGAGACATCTGTATCCTTGTCTCATTGCCAAATCTAGATTAATACCACCCGACTAGTATTGTGGTTCCACTAGTATTTTTGCAAAAAGAGGGCCCGCCAACGGCGAAATACGAAACGGTCCGGTCGTAAAGTACCGCACGGTGGGTCCGTTTCCATACCGTGCCGTACAGAAAACACGGCTGTAACGGTGGAAGTTATCTGATCATCTGATAGGGCTAATAGCATTCGCTTCGGACTGCCACCATACCGCACGAGGAAGATTGAGCCGAATGAATTAATCTACCTGGTGGAAGTCGGATGTTTATCAATCGCACGCCAGTCGGCCTCATTGTTCGTTTAGGCGGAGCTTGGGCATGGATACCGCAATGTGTTCTGTCTCGGACTCTCCACAACAGCCGAAGCTTTTCCAAGGGTCACTAAAAAGTCTTGGATGGGATAGTTGCTCGGTCTCTAATCTCCGTGTAGCGCTAAGAGTCGCAAACACCACACTAAGTATCTCGGCAGCGCAGTTCCACTATCTCTTGGTTTTTCTTGTCTATTTGACAGGGCATACCGTTTGCAGTAATGATTTACGCGGTTGGGGTCCAGGTTGATATCACAATGTTCATATGGAAAAGCTTTCAGAATTTATCGCTTTTGCCGCACGTTGGGGTGGACCAGTAAGCGAAGCAGCTGTAGTAGATTGGAAGTCCTCCAATAATTATCCTGACTGCGGATATACGCCAGCTTGGGCCTCGTAATCCACCACAGTGGGCCATATGCACTCCTTCCAACAATTACCGATGTCGACGGCAATCAAGCCTGTGCCCCATCGTCTTACCGATCAGAAATGGGGACTTAGCAAGAAATCGGCTCTTGGAGTACATCGCAAATATGCAGGCATGGATGTGGCTGCAGCTCCAACTGCATATGAGAATGTGCTCTATAATTGGGTGTGGTAAGAAGCAGGATTTTTAGTATTCTCGAAGCGACCATGGTGTATATCATCAGCAAAGTCTATCAGGATTCTATATACTGCATACGTCGGAGTTGCGATGGTAATTGCTAGATATTTACATCCAATCTTACAAGGTGGAAGGGTGGGGAGGAAGGAAACAAGATCAAAGCCATGAGTGGCGTCGCGTAGTATTACATTAAGCTATGTCTATCACTAGGTAGCGGTACTCCTTGGATATCTTCATTCCCTTCACCCCTGTTGGGAATCACCACCGCATCGCCCGTTATATAGACTGGTATCACCTAGACAAATAATCCAAAAATTTCAAAAAAGAAGTGTCTCTCCAACCTCCGAGAGACTTGTATCGTTCAATAGTCCGTAGCCCGTAGCCACGGTACAAATGATACACATCAAACTTGTATATTTTGCGTGAAATATAGCGCTTTGTTGCTGATGTCGGCAGGCACAACGCATAGTTTAGAACAGAATACCCTTGGATTGCTGCTTTGTAAGCTTGATGTCTCTCATGACAAACATCCAGATAAGCGACAGGGCCATGATAGCCGTTCCAGCGATCAACATGTTCTTCTGTGAGCTAGCATAAGCAAGGGAAATGGCCTGTCGTTCGGCTGAGCCTCTTGGGTAGCTCAGTTGAACGTCAAGATCATCGTAAATCGATTCCCAGTCACTCTTGACGGAGTCGGGCAGAAGACGCTTCAATGCATCAGGCAGAGTGTGCGTCCAGATAGCACCAGAGATACTGCCGCCGATCGCACCACCGATGTTGCCGAAACAGTTGAGGAAAGCAAGAGCCGAGGAGACGTGGTTGTGGTCAGCAGCAGCCTGCACAGCAACCTGTTGACAGATAATCATCGTACCGCCGGCAAAGGCAAGGAAGACCTGACACATGATCGTGTAGCCCACTGACCAGCTTGGGTTGCGGAAATAAATCATCAGGCCCACTCCAAGAAGATAAAGAGGCACGGCAAACTGGACTAGCCAGCGGAAACGACCAGTTTTCATGATTAAGAAACCAACAACAAAAAGCCAAACTCCAGAAACCACGTCGAAGATGCTGCTAATGTATCCAGCAGTTGCAATGCTAGTTCCATATACGACCTGTAGGTATGATGTGAAGTAGTCGAACCAGCAGTAGTATGCAACTTGGTAGGTCACATCGATAAGGCATGCACCCAAAACTGTTCTGGAGAGAAGAATTTGGTATGGGAGGAAGGGCACCGGGGCGAGGTAGCGCTCGGAAAGACCGAAAGCAAGTAGGACGACGAAACCGACAACGAGCATAACGATGATGTGAGCAGATGCCCAGTCATCTTCCGCGGAGCCAGCGATAGTAAAGGGGAGGAGGAAAAGAACGAGACCGGCTGCGAGAAGGAAGGTTCCCAGAACTGGATTCATTAGTTGAAAGCTTTCATGGTAGGAGCATGAGAACTTACGATCGAACTCGATAACGTAGTGGACGAAGCTCTGCATCGGCGTCCTGCCGCTCTTCTCCCTCGGCTTCAAGAGGCCGTTCTTCTTTGCCAGGTGACGGTTGTACCGAAGTAGACAGAACATTGGGAAGGCAACAACGGGCAGAACAATGGCAAAACAGCCATATGCCCATCGCCAGTTTGACTCGTAGAAGTGTTCAGAAGCAGCCGAGCCTGCATAGGCCGTGATAATATAAGGAGAAGAAGTAAATGCATAAGCAAGGCCTCGATGGCGCAGCGATGAAGTATCAGCTGTGATAACGTCGATACTGAAAATCAACCCGGCAAACCCGATACTATAAAACACCTTTGAACGGGTAAGCCAATTGCCGCATACGGATAATCAGAAATCGACCTACCTGGGCTGCACAGTACGTTGCAATGTTTGAGCAGGTTGCAGACAATACCAAGCCAAGGATTGAGAATAGGACCATGATGAGGAATCCAATGGAGCGGTCCCACAGGTTCAGAATCTTCGCAAGTGGCATATAAGTTGCGGCTGACATGACGCTGGACACGACACCAATGGTCGGGATCAGGGAGTGTGATTCGAATCCACTAGTGATGTAGGCCGATAGATTCCCTGTGATTGAAGATTGAAAAGCATTCACAAAGTACAGGAGCCACATGCTATTCTGAATCAGCTGTTGTCTTCTCAAAGGTATTGGGTTTAAACTCACAGAACATAGGCCGATCCCAGGGACCATTTGTTCCATGTTAATGTGATGGCTTCAGCTTGTGCTACACCATCCTGAGCTGTATCATCGGGCACGTCGTCCCTTGAAACATCATCATAGACCACATCCTCCGGGCGTTTTGAGCCTGGATGAGTATCTTCACCGGTCCCGTATTCCGGAGGGCTCGGATTAGCCTCGGTTGGGCCATCCGATTTCTCGAAGAACTTCTTCTGCCACGAAGATAACATGTTGAGAGTAGAGAATGCACTCTACTACACTCTGATCGAAAGAGATTTCTGCGAGGTGAGATAGAAGTTGGGAGATCTTCGTGGGACAAGCTTCCTGGGCGCCTTTTTTCAAGTTGGATCCCTTCGCGACTAAGGCAAGCCTAACAGACCACACCGGAGAACGATCGGACCATGCCTTATCCACCTTGATGGAGCTATTGGTTGTGGCAACGACCGCGTGGGAAAGATTCGTAACCACTGGCCAATATCCTTGCACGCGAGGGGGGGAAAGGTAGGCACAGCTTTTTTTCTAGCTACTAGGGCGGCTGGACCAAATATTTCCAAGACCGAAACTTTCCGTAGACAGCTAGTGACTCCATTGCCTTGCTCAATTTCGCCGATACAAATCTGTAATTTGTTGGTCAATAGACATACATTAGGGTATTCCACAACTCGTATCAACTTTCCATACGTACGATACGCCGTGTGGGGACCCGTATTGTACTCGTACCTAGATCACAACACTGGTAAGTTAGCATACAGCCGGACTTACGGAGTACGTATCACTCACCAACGAATTGGTTCATTTTTCTTTTTTTGTTTCCAGTTTGTTCTCCATGCAGTCAGTGGATCCTAACGGCGTCGTTGAACCATTTCCTATGCCGGATATGTCCGACTCCTGGTGGCCCATGGTTGAAATTTTCTCTTAAGATTTTTATCAATCTGATAATCTTACGTAACGATACGCCGGTCCCACTTGACATGACACCCCTCAGGCCCTCAGGCATCACCAGAAGTAAAGTCACCTTGTCTCGGTGATTGCTTTTCCTTTGCGACCTCGGACACAAAATGAGATCCCCTTGACGCGTGGATGCATTTTCCTCCGTGGTGACTTAACCATTTCCTCCTTCCTACATACGCGTTGTCGATGAACGGGTTCCCAAAAAATCAATGACCTGGACGACAATTTTGCAATCCAAGCACACGACAACGACAATCATAAGGTGCCCAACGGATATTGTCGACGCCAGGTCACTATGAAGCTCGGCAAGAAGCTTGCAGGCTACCCCAGCCTTCTGTTGGCCGGCAATCCTTCAAAAGTTGACATAGGCAGGCTTTTGTTGGGCATAGTATCTTCAGCAGCGGCTGGTGTCCCCTTCCCAATCATCGCTATTTTGTTCGGTCAACTGCTAGACGACTTCAACGCTGTAACATGTGAGGAAACCGAATCGACTGGTTCCGATGCCGATTACCAAAATGACATTAACGGCAAAATCCTGATCATCGTATATCTGGCCATTGCTCAATTCGTTGCGATTTATATACATCTTTCCTGCTGGAGCTTGAATGGTGCTCGGCTGGCGCAGAGACTGCGGGAAACATATCTGGAGAACTTGCTGCGACAGGAACCTTCATTCTTCGATGATCTGCCTCCGGGAGAACTCGCATCTCGACTCAATGGTGATATCCAGGCGATTCGATCGGGCACATCAGAGAAAGTGGGAATATGCTTATCGACCTTGTCCTTTTTCATCACGGCATATGTCGTCGCCTTCATCAAAGACTACCGGCTGGCAGCAATGTTGATTTCATTAGTTCCTGCCTACTTCATAATGTCATTTGTGGGGAGCCATTATATTGAGAAGTACTCTGGACGTATGTCAGATTACGCCGCGACTGCTGCATCAATTGCCTCCGAGGCGCTCTCCAACACCGTCGTGGTGCAGGCTTTTGGCGCAAGTTATCGACTGGAAGACAAGTTTTCCAAGGCTCTGAAGGCTTCAGAACAAGAGGGCTTGAAGAAGGCTGCCGCCGTGGGAATACAATCTGGATTCCTGTATTTTATCGCGTATTCTGCAAATGGTCTGGCCTTCTGGCAAGGCAGCAAACGTGTTGCGGATTCAGTAGGCACTGACACAGCTGGTGTCACCGTTGGTGCGACATTTACAGTTATTTTCGTCCTCGTTGAAGCTACCTTGCTCTTGAGTCAGGTAGCTCCATTCCTTCACCTGTTCACGGCAGCTGTTGCCTCGTTCCAAAAGCTGCGCGCAGACATCGACCGCCAGCCACAAATTGACGCTACCAGTGAATCAGGTATTCACCTCTCACAGGCAGAAGGTGGCTTCGAATTCAAAAATGTCTCATTCACTTATCCCTCCCGGCCCGAGATCACGGTGCTTGACCAGATCAGTCTCTCCATTCCGGCCAACAAGCATACTGCCCTTGTCGGTCTATCTGGAAGCGGCAAGTCCACTATCGCCGGCTTGGTCACAAGGCTGTATGATCCCACGGATGGGCAGGTCCTCTTTGACGGTCACGACCTTCGTGAGGTCAATACCCGTGATTTGAGAAGCTTCCTCAGTTTGGTGCAGCAGGAGCCCTCGCTGCTCGATCGGTCACTTTTGGAAAACATCGCACATGGCTTGATCAATTCGAGCAATCCTAGTCATGCTCATCTGAAGACGACTCTTCTAAGTACTGACCTTGCAGATTTGGCAGCGGAAGTCAGGGAAGGTGTGGATATTATGGCTGCAGCAGAGAAGCGAGGCTCTGAAGCTGTTGAAATTGTCAATCTAGTGCGAAAGGCCGCGGCGCTTGCTGATGCAGATGGCTTTATCAGTGTATTACAGCATGGTTACGGTACACTTGTCGGTTCTAGTGGGCGACTTATCAGTGGTGGTCAGAAGCAACGAGTCTCCCTTGCTAGGGCCCTCATCAAGGATCCTGCGGTACTTATATTGGATGAAGCCACAGCATCGCTCGATTCAAGGAGTGAGCAGCGTATTCAACGGGCCATCTCAAACATTGCCAGTGGCAGAACTATGATCACAATTGCCCATCGTCTGTCCACAATCACCAGCGCCGACAATATTATCGTTATGCACAAGGGACATATCGTTGAACAGGGAGATCACGTGACATTAATGGCTAAGAATGGAGCGTACGCTGACCTGGTGAATCTGCAAACTCTGGGATCTGCCCCCGGCAAGAAAGATAAGACAACTAGCGCAGATGACATCAGGAAGTCTGACAAGGCCTCTTTATCTGACGCTGGTATCGAGGAAAGCAGTGTCTCCAACGATGGTATGGGAGCCACTGAGAAAAAGAAGTCTCAGCAAGTGCATCTCCAGTCACTGAGCCTGCTGAACCTGCTGCAGAAGAAGAGCCAGAGACTCCCAAGAAATCTCTGTGGGCGCTACTGCGCGGGTATGCGCCAACACTGAGACCACATCTACTTTTCATTTTCCTCGCACTTCTAGGTTCCAGCATTGTCGGCGGCGCCTTCTCTGGCGAAGCCGTGATTTTCGGAAACACCGTTGGAAGTCTGAATCCCTGTCACAGTGAGAGCTATATTCGGAATGCCGGAAACTTCTTCGGACTCATGTTCTTCGTACTTGCCATTATTGAATTTTTCGCGAACCTGGTTAGCTGGACCGGGTTTGGCTGGGTATCGGAAAAAATCGTCTTCACAGTCAGAGTCTTGTCGTTCCGCTCACTCTTTGAGCAAGATCTCCAATGGCACCAATCTAACGGTCGATCACCCGCCTTGCTCCTCTCCTATATTACTCGAGACGGCAACGCTTGGCGGGACTGAGCGGCTCCGTCATTGGAACGTTGTTCTCTATCTCCGTCAACCTTGTTGCAGCAATCATTTTGACCCATATTATCGCCTGGAGAATCGCATTGGTTTGCCTGGCTTTGGTACCACTCCTGCTTGGAGCCGGTCTTATGGAACTTCACGTACTTGGCAAATTCGAGGAACGCCACGAGAACGCATACACCAAGTCAGTCGATATTGGTGTAGAGGCAGTCACGTCGATCAAAACAATTGCATCCTTATCCCTTGAAGAGGACACTTTGAGGACTTACCGACGATCGCTAAAAGGACCCCGCAAGGAGACATTCCAAGTCACTCTTCATGCAAGTCTTTGGCAGGCAATGACTTACTTTCTAGGTAACTGTGTCAATGCGTTGGCTTATTGGTGGGGTTCTAAACAGATCATCAATGGCAACTACACGCAAACACAGTTCCTGATTGTAGTATTCTCGCTCCTGGTCAGCGCATTGCTCTGGAGTCAGATGTTTGCCCTTGCACCGGAGCTTTCCGCCGCCCGAGCGGCGATGGCAAGAATCTTGGGTCTGATCGAGATTGGATCGGACAAAATGCAAGGACGCGTACCATCCCGTTCACCTTCTATCTCTTCTTCCGAGGAGAAAGACCTTGAGACAGCTGAAACGAAGTCAGCGTACGTGTCTGGCAACAACCAGGCCTCGAGCGTGCAACTCCGAAATATCCATTTCGCATACCCCGCTCGGCCGGATGTAAAGGTGCTAAACGGCTTGGACGTCGATATTCGTCCTGGGCAATTCTGTGCCCTTGTCGGGCCAAGTGGTGCCGGTAAATCAACCATCATTTCGCTGGTTGAACGGTTATACACGCCCGAAACCGGATCCATCGTGATCGATGGTGTCGACGTTACCAAGCACCGAGGTGTTGACTTCCGTGACTCTATCGCTCTAGTGCCGCAAGAAAGCGTGCTTTTTGAGGGTAGTATTGAGTTCAACATCGGGCTTGGTGCTAGGCCAGGACATGAAGCAACTATCGAGGAAATCAAAGAGGCGTGCAAGCTTGCCAACATCCACGACGTTATCGAAGCGCTGCCAGAGGGCTACAAGACTCTTTGCGGGCCCAATGGTAGCCAGTTCTCGGGAGGTCAGAAGCAGAGATTGTCTATTGCTCGGGCACTCGTTCGGAAGCCTAAACTGCTGATTCTCGATGAATCGACCAGCGCTTTGGACGCTGAATCGGAGAAGCTACTGCAAGACGGGCTCGAAAAGGCCGCAAAGGGTATTACTGTCATTGCCATCGCCCATCGCCTCCATACAATTAGAGCAGCAGATGTCATCTTCTTGATCGAGGGGGGTAAATGCATTGATCGTGGATCGCACGATGAGTTGCTTGAAAGGTCGGACAGCTATAGAGCAAACGTGATGCATCAAACAGTGGCCACGTGATCGCGCGTTTCGTCGGGTAATCCTTTATTGCGGTTTTTGGAACATTTTGGTTGCACATCTGCAAGAGACTGTTTTTTAAATATTCCCCTGATAGACTTCGTACATATTTGTAATAGCGCTGTTTCTTTTCTGACTCTATATATGATAATATTCAACTTATGGTTTTTATACTATGCAAGATAATAGGTGACAAATACAACGTAGCCTTCATAGTCCTTGTCCAGCGGTAGCTTGGCAACGGTAAAATCTTGAACTTGCCTCATTTCGCTTCACAGTTGAACCCAAAGCAACTCACAGAAATGAGCAATCAGAGCGTATCTACGTAATCCTTATATTCACTCGCTATTCAATATGGGTAGTACAAATCTAAATATCTAAATTGTTCACATCCATGACGGACGGTCGTGTTTGAGAATATATATTCCTATCTGACAAGCATGTAGATCTTAGGGTTTTGAGAACAATATATCTTTGCCAATAGGATTGTCCTTATGCTTCGAGGATAAGCAAAACACAACGATTGTAGTAACTGCGATTAAACTCTGAGTCACAGATCTATACCTATGCCCCGATGTTTTCTTTCAATCAACTTTCACTTATACAAGTTCGTCTAAATTGGTTGCAAGCAAAAGTCCCGTGACTGTAGGGTAGGCACCAACCAAGAATATTTGCTCTAAAATTGTAGTCGACATTTCTAATAACTAATATACTAGTAGGATATAACAAATTGAAGACAATGAACTCCTAGGAGAAATAAATGCAAAAAGATCAGAATGAAATTGTTATCCACGACTCAATGTGAGCGACTTTGACCAATCTCGGGGCCTAGAACATGTGACCATCAAGCAACACGTGCTTCGACCGACGCGTCGCCAGTTCCTTGACCGTGGCAGCCAACTCATCAAGGGCTGCGTTGACGAACGTCGAATCCCTTTCACTTCCAGCGACTCCGACATTCAATTGCCCTCCACGGACAAATGAAACAACCTTCAAAGGATAAGGGGCATCCCCATCCGGGTTCAGGATATCAACCTTACAAGTTCCCCCGGCAAAAGGCATGGTGTCAAAGTCATCCCAGTCCTGATGATGGACGAGAGAGTCGAAGCATGTTGCTTCTGATGACCATTCTGTGCATTGCTTGGAGATCTTATTGAATCCTAGGAAGTCATGAGCCGCAGATTCGGCGCTTTGCCTCTGAACAAATCGCAGTAGATCCATCGCGGTCCACTGTGACTGGAACGCGACTCTGATGGGGGTTAGCTGGTAGCAGGGACCCATAACATTTTCCACATTTGTGAGGTCAATGTTTCGGCCTGAAGTGACGCCGCCAAATGTCACATCTGGCTTTTGGAGACGGCGTGCCAGCACCAGTGCCCAGGCCGCAGTGAGTAAGTTCGCGGTCGTGACCTCTTCGAGGTCAAGAGGCTGGGAGACATCAACGGGTTTAGTTTGGAATATGGCTTTGTCGGTGGGCTGTACTGACGTTCCCTCTAGAACAGACAGGGATGACCCTTCCAGAAGGTTGCGCCAGTAGTTGATTGCTTTGGTTTGGACACCTTCATCGGAAATCCGTGCAATGTATGCTGAAAAAGGCTCGAAGTCGACGATCTTTCCTCCAGTATACAAAGTCTCCAGATCTTGTAGCAGCCTAGGCAGAGACATTCCGTCATACTGAGCGTGTGAAAGACCTAGGATGAGGCATTCTTGGCCATCGCCGCCCTCGACATGGAGCAACTTGAAAAAGGACGACCCTATGTGGAAGGATTCTGTGTGTGATGTGCAAAGATCCTTGATGTATTGGTCAAGATCCTTATCAGCCCGGTGCATGGCTACAGGAACGACCAACTCATCCAAAACAACCTGGAAGAAGGTAGATTCGTGTTCGATGAAGACAGTGCGCAGAATGTCGTGCGTTTTGACCAGGTCGTTGCAGGCGCGGAACAATTGCTCTCGATCGATGCTCTGGTCCAGGTACAACATGGTATATTGTATCGAAGTGCGCGGCCCCTGGATGGTAGCTCTAACGTCGAGTGCTTGGGAGTCTGTCACCGGAGATACATCTTGGATAGACCACGTAACATCAGCAAGTTTCGGCCGGACAATTTCGGACACGAACTGCTCTACATCCACACGGCCTAGAGTTGAGAAAGCCTTGTAAGGCTGGGCTTTCTGTTGCGATACCTGGCCCAGTTTCAATACTTTAGCTGCATCGCCAAGACGCATGTGTTGGAAGATGTCGGCCACTGACAAACTGTGCCCCTGCGCACGAAGGCTAGAGACCAGTTTCATCGCTAGAACAGAGTCACCGCCCATGCGGAAAAAGTTATCATCGACATCTATCTTCTCGGGACTGATTCCTAGTATCTTTGCCCAGGCGGACCGCAGGATACTTTCGGGGAGGGACATATTAGTTTGCCCTAGGTTCTTCGTCCAGGCCTGCTGGAAGGCTTCACGAAGCTGGATGAGTACGTGTTTTGGAATATTGGAGGCTAGCTGTTTGAGCAAGGCGTGATTGACTTCACCCATCTCAGTGGGCAATTTGTCAAGGACGACATAGGCAGAGGGGACCATGTATGATGGAAGGGAGTCTTGCATAAACTTTCTGAGTCGCTTTAGTGCAACGGTAAGACTGGTGGGAATTGTGGCACGAATAGACGTCGAGAGGTCTTGGGTGTCTGAAGCCTCACAAGCGATGTCATACTTCGCTGATAGGAGCTCAACACTGTCTTCGTCAGAGGGCTGTTGCTCTATGAATATGGCCAGCTCTTGTTCTGTCACAGAGTTGGCGTCGTCTGAAGATGGTTGGAAGACGGCAGCCGCAGCCCGGACATGTGGTGGGAGGTATTTTGCAAAGTGAGACTCAACATCGACGATATCCACCGCATGCCCTTGAACTGGCACAATATCCTCCTTTCTACCAACAAATATTAAGCTTCTGTCCTCTTGTAAATTAACCATGTCTCCGGTCGGCTGCGCTCTTCCCGCCCGGCCTTTGAAATTAGGGCTACCAGCCAGGAGCCAGCAGGGGGAATCAATGGCATCGCCTGAAAGGAAAGCGCCTTCCAGCCAGAGCTCGCCCACACAGCCGATTGGCGATAACAACGACGGGTTCCGAGGGTCGCACACCCAGGGAACCACCGTAGGAGGGTAAACTGATCCTGGCTTGATGTTCGCATTTGCTCGAAGCCTTCCCGATGATTCGTCCAAGGACAACGGGGCAACCTGGTTCCATTGCCAGATCTGATCCAGTTCCGCCTCAGGCAGACAGGATATTTCATTGATCCTTCTAGAGAGACCTTTCGTCAGCTGCAAGCAAGCCGCTTCGAGCTGCGCGAGGATTCGCTCCATTTGTGGGATCTCCACCAGGGAGCTATCGAAATTTGCGCATATTCTGAAACCACCCTTTCGGATACCACAGCCTAACATGAGGGGATATGGGTTGAAGTGCAGCGCTTCCCGTACGACATCTCCAAGCTCAAACCCCAGTTCGCTGCCCACATACTCCGGCTCTGGCTGGATGACCAAACCTGTACCAGCTTCACATGCATGTTGCGCGTCTTGGCTGACCTTCCGAATGTTTTGCATTCCCATATGCTGATATGGAGTACGGGCCACAACACTTTGTTGCACAGTCTGCAAATAAGATTCGACGGAACTTGTTCGAGGGACACGTACGCGGATAGGTACTGTTGCAATCAATGGACCCACAATGCTTTCCACTCCTGGCAACGAAATGTCTCGCCCCGTGAGCGTTTCGCCGAACACAACATCGTCGCTCCCTGTATACTGTGACGCCACTAGGGCCCAAGCACCGCGAATAAGTGTTGCCAGTGTGAAAGGCCAACCGGAACCTGTCTCAAGCGGTATCTGACGTTCGACCATAGCGTCCGGAACTGGCAAGTAGTCTCTCGTGGGTAACCGGGGGAACTGAGGTCCGACTGCGCCTTTTAATTCTCGTTGCCAGAATTCCTGCATAGCAACTTCATCTGTATCTCGGACCCAATTGACGAAGTCTCTGATCTGTGCCTGGGTTTCAATCGGCTGTCCTTGCAAGGCGTCACTGACATTCTTGAGAATTACTGGCTCTGACCACCCGTCGTAGACCACGTGATGAATCGTCCAGACCATGTACCTCGTCTCAGTCTGTGGATCGCTAATTATGGCGTATCGAGCTAGGCTTTCTCCAAGATTCATTCTCTCGTTCCGATCAGCCTCTAGGTACTGATCAAGATCGGTCGAAGATCTCCAGGAGATAGTTTCCTTCAGTACGATCTGCTGAAGACCACGTTCCTGCAGCTGGGCCACGCGAGTGCGCAGGATGGGGCTTGCTGCTACAACCTCGCTCCATGCCTTCTTCCAAGCATCAGAACTGATGTGCGAGGGAATTCGAGCGACTCTCTGGGCGATGTATGGCTTGACTGACTTCAGCGAGAAGGTGAAGAGCGACTCTTGCGTGGGCGTACAAGGGTAGATGTCTTCAACGGATGCAGGATCTGACCCGCAGGCTTCCGATGCTTCCCGACAGGCGCTCTCTACAGCCTGGGTGATCATTGAAAATGCCGGTGTTTCTGTCTTCACCTTCGAGTCGATAATACTGACGACGCTGGCCATCGCTGAAAGTGTAGGGTGGCCAAAGGTGCCGGTGACACTGAGATCGAGACCGTCCGCTCTGCAGACAGACACAAGCCTCATGGCCGCCAGGGAGTCACCACCGAGTGCGAAGAAATTATCCTCAGGTCGAATACCTTCGCAATCCAATTTCAATACTTGGCCCCAACCTTGGCGCAACTGTTGCTCAAGGTCCGTCAACTCCCGTGCAGGCTCGCTGTTTGTGCCTTGATCCAGCTGTTGTAAATCTACCGTGGCACCGAATTCACGAAGCCGTTTGCGGTCCGTCTTTCCCGAAATTAAGACAGGGATGTAATTGACCGGGATATATGCGTTTGGCACCATATAACGCGGCAAAACCTTTGCGATTTCTGCATCAGCTTTTGAAAGCA